ACCCTTCAGGTACGCCTTGCGGAATTACAGGCGCAAAGAGAAGGCCTGGAAAAGGAGTTGGGGCTTACCACCAAGGAAAAGGTAAAAAGAGCCCTTTTGAAGTATGGTATTCCCCTTGCATTTGCGGTCGCTATTTTAAGCGTAGTAGGCGTGATCCTATCCGCGCTTAAGGCTACGGGCGCGGGCGTAAAGAAATTAGGCAGTGGGCTGACGGACTTGGGAAAAAAGATGGCAGCCGGTCTTCCTGGGCTGCTTGGTAGTGTTCTTGGCCTGGCACTTAGGGCCGGCGGCGAACTGCTGAAGTTCGTGGGGAATAACATCTGGATCTTGGTTGTCGCTATTGGAGTGGTACTTATGAAGAAGATGAAGGTTTAATCTTGTCCTTATATGTTACTGGGGGCTTGTCGTCGTCAGGCCTCCTGGGCGTCCTCGACGTGGGATAAGTAAAGATAGTATTCGCGCCGCCTTGATAATACGGAACTAATGGTAAAACAGTCATAGTAGAAATGGGCTTATGATTCCAGACCGCATCTATAGCAGGATTTCCCACAACATTTATTCGAACGTTGCCATCAGCAGAAAGGAGTTGCGGTCGAGCATGCTTACAATTGACTAACATATGAAAAGTCACTGGCGTTAAGTCATCACCTGACGTTGTACAGGGCTCCATCGAAAAATGGGCAACTTTCCTAGTGTTCGTCGAAGTTCGATAAGGGAGCAGGGGCTTGTCGTTTTCATCGACGAGTCTAAACCCCACATTCGCACCACTAGCCGTATTAATGCTAATAGTGCAAATGATCAATGCAGCGCCCCCAACTTCAACCCACATGCCAACGTCTTTCCAATCAGCAGATTCATCGTAGCCCTTCTCCTCCAAGTAATAGATAAACCACTCTTCCTTCTGATGTGGGTTGTTCATATATTTAAAGGCTCACCACCGTAAGAGTGCTAATGGTCATGTGATTATAGAGCCGATCTCTTTGGTCCTCTATGCTGTTTATGCAAACACTCCCGGTGTCATCTACGCGTATTTGTAGCTTTACCTTTCCATGGCAATCGGCGACCATGTGAAAAGTCCAAACGGAAAGATTTTCAGCGCTATTCATTGGCGGCTCTGCGGAAAAATGTACGGGCTCTCTGTTGTTTGTCTTCGCGCGCATAGGCTGCAGTATGCCGTTGTCATCTAAGAACCTAAAGCCCACGTTTGCGTGGCTGCTCGTGCCAATGCAAATACTACAAAGGATCAATTTCTTTCCTGAGTAGTTCAAGTCCACGGACATCCCCGTGACATCAACCCAAGATGCCTGGTTGTATTTTTTCTCGCCTGTGTAAGTCGTATAGACGCAATCTACTCCAGCTACGTAGGGGTTGTTCATCGCCATATATAATAACTCAGACCAATGCTTGCGGTGGCTAAGCCGGCCTTTAGTAGGTTATGGTCATATTCCTCGGGTATGGCTGGTAGCGCGGGAATATGCTTCTTAACTACGGGTAGCTTCGTTTCGTGTTCCTTCTTTGGTTTCTCTACGAAGTGAGGAATGCCCTTGGTAGTATCAAAGTTCACGTCATTCGCCCCAAACTTCATATCCTTAGTAGCTCGCTGCAGCTTGTTGTTATAACCCACGACGGAATTGGCGTTGATGACCAAATTACTTGGCATTAACCAACAACCAGGACTCAAGGCATAATCTAACCGCACTTTAGATTGTTGCACCGCCAATTGATATCTTTGAACTGACTTGGATATGTCATTTTCTATTAT